TAACCTAGAAGGTAACACACACGCATAGGAAATCAATGTGAGTTAATGCCCTGTATAGCTATCCTTATCTCAACCAGCAAAAACCTTTGTTCCTTCCTATTATAGCTTATACTCTCTTTACAACAAAATTAGAAATAAGGGCAAAATAGTTTCTGCTGGGTATTGAGGGGGTGGGAGAGGGAGGGGGCGGAGTGGGTGGTAAGGGAGGGGGTGGGGGCAAGGGGGTGAAATGACCCAAGCTTTGTATGCACATATGAGTAATAAAAGAAAAAAAAAAAAAGAAAATACTGGGCGCTGTGGGAGCATGTCAGAGGGCCTTAACCCACATTGGGAATTACCTGTCTGGGAAGCCTTAGCTCTTCCCTGAAAGAATGGAAATGGAGTGGAAATGAAGAAGAGCATTAGATAGAGAACACAGCACATACAAGAGACAGGCAAGAGAGAGAATGAAGAAGAGAGAATGAAGAACTGGTTCCACGTGGCTAGAGGATAGACTGAATGATGAGGTGGGAAATGGAAAGGCTTATGGCTGGAGAGGAAGGAATTGGCTGGGTCCTGAGGGGCCTTCTTTCTTTTTGGTGGTACTGGGGTTTGAATTCAGTGCTACACCTTGAGCCACTCCACCAGCCCTTTTTTGTGATGGACTTTTTAGAGATAGGATCTCTCGAACAATTTCCCAGGCTGGCTTCCAACCGTGATTCTTCTGATCTCTGCCTCCTGAGTAGCTAGGATTACAGGAGTGAGCCATTGGCACCTGGCTCTGAAGGGCCTTCTTAACTACATTCCCATATTTAACTTATCCTAAGGCTGATAGGAAATGATAAAAGTTTTGTAAGCAGGGAATGAGAGGATCAGGTGTCCACTTTAGAATAATCATTGTGTGGTGTGAATACACATTGAGAGACTGAAAAGAAGTAATCCAAGTAGGAGATTTTGGTGGTTTGAATTGGGTTGGTGGAGCTGAGGATGGGAGAGGAGTGGATAGATTGGAGTCATGGTCAAGATTGGCAGTGGAGGAAGAGAAATGGAGAGGAAGAGCTCCCCGATAACTTAGAGGTATCTTACTTTGGAACTGAAGATGGATGGAGGAAATAGGGAACAATGGAAGAAAATTATGAGTTCTGTTTGGACCTGTAGAATTTGAGGTGCCTGTGAGACAACTATGCCTCTGGAGCTCAGAAGAAAGACCTGCCTGAGCTAGACATACAGTTACAATTCTGGGATCCACAGCACATATGGTAACTGCAATGTGGGAATGTTTGACATGGTTGGTTGAGGGACAGAAATTGGAAATAAAGCCCACAAAAAAGGCATTTGAGCAAGGAGCCAGTGGCTCACACCTGTAATCCTAACTACTTGGAAGGCAGAGATAAGGAGGATTGCATTTAGAAGCCAGCTTAGGCAAATAGTTTGAGAGATACTATCTCAGAAAAAATACCCTTTGTTCCTATACAGCTTCTGTTTCCTATAGTTGGAAGAAAGCAAGCAAATACATAAATACATAATTTCAGACACTATGAAGAAAAATGAGGCAAAATACGGGAGTACAGAATAATGGAAGGGAGAGAAGCTATTCTGGATGGGGTGACTAGGAATGACTACTCTTAAGAATTCACATTTGAACAGAGACCTAAATAGGAATATCTTAGGGAAGAGCATTCCAGCAGAACAAATGAGGCAAGTGCTAAGGTTTTGAGGTGAAAAGATCCATTGGTTCAATGAATGGTAAGAACGGCCAGTGTGGCTGGACAATGATGGTAAAAGAGTTCAGAGAGCATGGCTGGGGCCAGTTCCTGTTGGGCCTAATAGGTGGTGACAAAGAGTTGAGATTTGATTCTGAGTATGATGGGAAGCCACTGGAGGGTTGACAGCAGGACCTGAGTAACATGATTTAAATTACATTTTACAAGAATAACTCTGGTTGATGTTGGAGAATCATTTGTTGTGCTGCCCAGAAGAAACAGGGAGACCAGATATGAGGCTAGGACAATTATCCAGTAGAGAAGGATGGTGGTGGTGAGATTGGATGGATTCTGATACATCTTGAAACATTGCTGAATGTTTGGATGTATGTGTGTTAGAGGAAGCAAATCAAGAAATCTTTCTGTTACCTTTGTACTTTAAAGACTGGAAAAACAGAGGTCCAGGGTTTTGGGTGGTGGAGAGAAGAATCAAGAGTTCTTGTATAAATCAGGTATAGTGGTTCACACATGTAATCCCAGCACTCAAAAGCAAATAAACAACAACAAAAAACAAAGTTCTTCTTGGAGGTGTATATTAGACATTCAAAGAGAAGTTGCTGATTAGACCTTTGGATACAGAGCATGGATTGCGTATTACATTTTCCCTAGAAAATGTGTAAATTTTTTATATTGATTTTAAGGTCAATAAAATTAAAGGTCAGATCTGAGCCTCAAGTTGGCAGATGGTGACTTCCAGCATTGGCCTGTTGTACTTATTCTCAGTGGAGTAATTTTGTCCCCAGTGGGACAAGATCTCTTGGATTATACAATGGAATTTGAGCTTCAAAACTCGAATCTTTTTTTTCTAGGCAGGTGCTCTACCACTTGAGCCAGCCCTATTCTGTCCTTTTTTTTTTTTTTTTTTGAGCTAGGGTTTTATGAAACTATTTGCCCAGGCTGGTTTCAAAATGCAATCCTCCTGATCTCTGCTTCCTGAGTAGCTAGGTTACAGGTGGTGCTTGGGTAAAACTTTTTTTTTTTTTTTAGTAGTGCTGGGATTTGAACTCAAGGCTTCATGCTTGCTAGGCAGGAACTCTGCCACTTGAGCTTTCGCCAGCTTTTTCTCTTTTATTTTTTGTTTGTTTGTTTTGAGACTTGATAAGCAGCCAGGCTGGCCTTAAACTTAACTATGTAGCTTGGAACTCTGGATCTTCCTGTCTTAATCTCCCAAATGCTGGAATGATAGGCCTGTACTATACCACACCCAGCTGGAATTTAAATTTAATTAAGTAATGGAGATTAAAATTTTGGGGCTGGGCATGTAGCTCAGGGGTAGGGTGTTTGCTTAGTGTGTTTGAGATGCTGGGTTCCATCCCCAACACCACACACACACACACACACACACACACACACACACATATACAGGGATGGATAATGAAAAATAAAAAGGTAAGAAACACAGGCCTAGTGCAAGAACCTAACAGAGCTGGTATGAACCCAGGCTCCTCCACCTTGGACTTGGAGCTTAACTTCTGAGCTTCACTTTCTTTTCTTTTTATTATTCTACTTATCTTTTTTGGTGACGGGGTTTGACCTCAGAGCTTCATCTTGCAAAGCAGACATTCTGCCTCTTGAGCCACACCTCCAACCCATTTTGCTCTGGATATTTTGGAGATGGGTCCAAGGTTTGGGACTGGCCCTCAAACCTTGATTCCCTGGATCTCAGGCTCCCAAGTAGCTATGTTTATAGGCCTGAGCCACTGGTGCCTGGCCTGAGTTTCACTTTCATCATTTAAATGCCAGTAGTAAACTGGGCATAATAGTCTATAATCCCAGCACTTGGGAGATTGAGGCAGGATGATCATGAGTTCGAGGCCAGTCTGGTCTACCTAGCAAGACCCTGTTTCAAACAGAAGAACAGGGCTAGGGTTGTGGCTCAAGAGTCAGAGCTACTGCCTAGTATGCGAAAGGCCCAGGGTTCAATCTCTAGTACCGGAGAAAAGGGGTTAAAAAAACAAAACAGAAAAACGAAAAACAGCTGATAATATTATTTACTCAGATGTTTGGAAAGATTAAATGAGATGACATGCCTGGCATATAATAAACTACTAATAAATACCCTTTCCCCCTCTGTATTTCCCCTTCCCGGAAAAGAAATTATGGTTAAGGAACTTCAATAAATTAGGTAGGCACCTAATCAGGTGGCAATATGAGACTTGAAAAGCTTGTTGGAGAAAAACAGGACAGGGGGCTGATTAAATATTAGGGGTGGTGTGAAGAACGGGGGAGAACCAGAGATAATCTTAAATCAGTAAAGGTTTTTAGGTGATGACTGAAAATGGGATCTGAAGATTATTTTGGAGTCTGACATATTCCACTGGAGGAAGAAGGGAACCCACATTAATTGTGGACTTAGAATCTGAAGATCTGGGTGTATAAAAATGTTGGCCGTAGGGGGCTGGGGAAATTATGATCACTCTGTTTTGAAATATGCAGCCAGTACTGTGAAGACATTTTTGTCAAATGTTGTATGTCTAGGTAGGAAATAAGATTATGTCTAGGGTGGGGCTTTTATTTTCTTTATGCTTTTCCGCACTTCACATTTTTTTAACAAAAAGTTTGCGTTGCTTTTATAACTAGAAAAAAAGAAGCTATTTTCCAAAATCCCCTTTTGCAGAACTCATAATGTGGGGACCACCTCCTGCACCTTCTGCGGCCAGGCCCAAGGGTGTGGTCCGGAAGGTGTGAGACCCAGGGAAAAGGGAGCAGTGGCGAGGCCGCTTCTCCGGGCAAGCCCACTAAAATGGGAGTTCGGGCGGCCGAGGGGGACACACGACCGGAACCGCTCAGACCCGGTGCTTCTCGGCTCGTTACACCAGCCGCCCTCCCTATCCCAGCTCCAGAGCAGCAAGCCGGGAACCGCGCCAGCCCGCGCGCCTGGGAAGCCAACAGTGACTGACAGGGGGTGGGAATGCGGGCGGAGCCTCAGGCTGGAGCTGTGATTGGAACAACCGACACCTCCCGGGGAGAGGGAGCGAGAGCCAGCGAGGGATGCGCAGAGGCGGGTGCTCGGAGCCCTCTCTGTGATTGGCTAGCGTTGTTTCGATGATTGGCAGCTCTCGGAAACCGCCTTGACTTCGCCCATTGGCATCCTGCGAGAGTAGGCGGGATTGGTTCATCTTGCGTTGCTGCTGATTAGCTGGCTGCTGAGACTTAGGATGTTGGAAGGGGGCCGGAGGGTGGGCGGTGGAGTGTGTGTGTGTTGGAGGGGGGGGGCAGCCGATTTAGTACTGCTTATTGGCTGGAGAAGTGAGTGGGGGTGGTATGAATGTCCAGCGACTGCCGGCGATTCGTGAGCGCGGGAGTGAGTGACAGACTGGGAGGCGAGCTCCGCAACCAGCGGTTTGTTTTTCTGAGCGTTCCTGAGGTGGAGAACGGTGGCCCGACGGAGCGACTGCGGGACTGAGGGACTGGCGGGCGGGCGGGCCTAGCGGCGCCGCCGAGGCCGGGCTGGGCCGAGCCCGGGAGCGCCGGGGATGTAGCGGGCCACCCTGCCCATGCCACAGCGCCCGGCTGCGGGCGGAGCCGGAGCCGGAGCCTGGGGAGGCGGCGGGGGCCCCGAGCGCAGCCAGCGGCCCCCGCGCGGAGCCAGGCCCGCTGCCGTCCCCGCCGCCCGGGCCCCCGGCATGCAGCCCCGGCTGCGGAGGTGACACTGCTGGGCCCCCACCGCTGCCGCCGCCATCGCCACCATGGGTGAGTATCGCCACCGCCCCGGCCTGTGCCCGCGCTGCCTTGCGACGCCCCGCCCCGGGCTGAAAGGAGGAGGACCCTGGGTGGCCGCCTGACAGGCATGGACAGTACGGCCCGGCCGGGGGCTGAGGACCGTCGGCCTCCGGTTCGCGGCGTCGCGGTCGGGCGGGGGTTCTGGCTACCCGAGTCCTCTCCCTGGCGGTCTCGCGGATCGCTCCCACTCGGCAGCCTGCTTTCCGGGTGGCGCGGCGGGAGCATCCCAGGCAGGCGGCGGGACCGAGGGCCCGTGCTCGGCTGGCTGGGCCGCCCGCACCGGGCCCAGCGAACCGGCCCTCGAGCTAGAGGGCGGGGGCAGCCAGAGCTCAGTGTGGGGCCCGGGCCGGAGCCTGGTGCAGGCCCAGCTGCTGCTGTGTCTTTTCCTTGATTTGCTTTTTTTTTTTTTTTTTTCCTGCCTGTGTCATTTCCTTCCCTTTGCTCACACAGGCCGGCCTGTGAGAGTTCCCGGGGCTTGCAAGCTCGGGAGCGCCGTGCGCGCCCCAGAGCAGGGGGGAGGGCGTGCAGGAATCCGCTGCTTGGTGATTAAACGCAATCTCGGTTATGGAGCCCTCGGTGGGGAGTGTGAGTTGCGCTGCACGCAGATTGCTGGAGGTTAGGAATGATTGGGTGCTTCTGGTTAGAGTTTAGATGCTACTTATGGAAAGATCCGGTTGCAGTGTTTTGCACCTTTTTTTTTTTTTAATCTTGCGGGATCCCTGAAATTATGTAACTTTTGAAGGAAATATTGGCTGCACAAAAGAATCTCTCTGAAATCATTTCCTTTTTGTCAACTTTTGCAATTTCTGCTGTGAAGATGTAATCTAAGAAAAGCTTTTAATGTGTTTCACCCGCAGCATTTGAACTGAATTATATTCTGTTGGATTGGATTAAGGAGCATGTAACATTTTAAATGTACTTTGCTCCTCCTGTCAGCAGGATTGTGATGTTGTTGTCCCTAATCACAGGTTTTGCAAAATATTTGGTATTGACCTAAATGATAAAGGGATACACTTAAGTGAAAGGATGAATTCTTTGCAAAAGTATTCATTGCTTCTGTGAAGTCCCCTCGTGAAGAGGGGAACGTTAATGTTTGTTTTGCAAACATTATAGCAAGGTCAACTCATTTTTGTAAGAGATTATGTGTGTGCTCAGTTTCATTGGCTAGATGATCGTTTGTGACCCATCTCCACACTCTGGCTTTAAATGAATTGCCTTGTTGTAGTTCATGCTGTCTCTCATACAGTCTGGGAAGGGTTTATTCATCTGCTGGGTTTTACTGTTTCCTTCCCATGCTGTACTTCACAAGTGTTCTGTGGGAAAGGTCTGTCATCAGAGTTAGGCATAAAAGGAACCCAGTAAGTCCTGGTATTTAAATATATAGTTCTACAAATATTTATTGAGCATTCACTGTAAATGGGGCACAGAGTTCTTTTTTTTTTTTTTTTTTTGTCCTCCCCAGGCTTCAAACATTTATCTTGTGTTACAGAATTTGCACCACATCTTTGAATTGAATTGTGGACATATATTGTGATAAGTGTTTCTAGTATGTCTTTCCTCTTGTCCTTTGAGAGCAGCCTAAGTCCCAATGGGAGTGAGAGATACTTGAGGGTGTGCAGAACTCCCACCTCCCGCTTTGACTGCAAGACCAGTAAAAGTGCCCAGATAGGAGCGCTACATCTCATTATCTAACATGAAAATAGATGTGAGCCTGTTTTCACATTTCGGGATAGTTTCAGTGTGTGAGCATATAGAGAGACAGTGCTGGAGAGGAAAGAATTGTATAGGTAGATCTAGAGTCCCAAACAAAAAAGGACCAGAAACTCTATATCGTCTCATTTGTCCCTATGTCACTTTTGCATGAAAAAAACTGAGACGGTGAGAGGGAAATTAACATTCTTGGTGGCTCCAATATGTTAGGCAAGCTAGTTTAAGAACTACTGCCCTGATTTTCTTTAGAACTTTCTCCCCATACTATTCCTTCTGTTTGCTGTAGATGATCTTGACACACAATTAGAGCTAATGTTGATAATTATTGGTAATTATTAATAATTTTCTCAAACACCTTTACAGAGCTCATTGAGGATATATGGATACACAGATCCACAATCTCTGAAATATTAGTTTCATTTTGGTGCTGTAAATTATGAAACTTCACATCTCCAGTTTAGTTAGTTTGCTTTGGTTGCTGTAGCTCTAAATAAATTTAACCAGCAAGCAGGAGGCCCTGGGCTTAGACCCCAGTTCCTAATAAACAAACTCAAGGGTTTGATAAAAGACAAACATAGACTACTTACTATTTTGGTTACACTTAAGCTACAGCCCAGTGAGGAAAGGGCTAAAACTAATTGAGTCCCTGCCCTGCAGCTCATAAACTGTATTTTCCTGAGCTGTTTTATGCTGGAGATTTAACCTGTTTGACAAGTTGGGTTGTTAATAAAACAGGTCAAATTTTATATTGGCTGTTAGCCCCAGTAAATTTCTGGTGGAAACTACACTTACCCTGTAAATAATAGGAAATACTCTTTTTTTGTTTTTTTCTTTTTTTGGCTTTGGTACTATGTGACTATTAAAATTGGGATTGCCTGGTTATTTTTTTCCTGGTCACTCTAGAGTTCCTTCCCAACTTTAGTAATTATAGTGGCAAATGCTGTCAATAATATCTGAGACTAATTTGCTTATGTTTGGTATAAATGCAGTCTGAAACTTAGTGGGATATATTATCGAAAAATATGTAATGATTTGGAAATGTTACAGGAATCTTATCAAGAACTGAGTACAGGATTAAAGAATGGTCTGGTTCTGGGTTGACAACTTGGTTTAAAGTCAGAATTGTTGTGACTTACAGAAAGAGGTCTGGTCTCTAGGGTTCCAAGGCTCTTGGGAGCCTTAAAACCAGTCTCAATTCAGTTAGGGTAGAATCTAATCACCTGTGTAGACTCGGAAAGGTTAGTAACTGTTTTGGTTGATTTGAATTAATTCAATGGTTTAATGAATCAGCATATCTATATATCATGAGCAAATTTCTGATACTTTTTAAAATGATAGTTAAAAAATTTTGAAAAAGAAAGAAATCACAGTTGGATTTTAAAACTGAATTTTAGGCATTTGTAAAAGGTAAATATCCACCCAACCGAGCATTACTTAGGGCAATGCACAGAGGATAAGAAGCAGTTTTTCTGGTTCTATGTAAGTTATCCATTTAGTCTTTGCCATTTGTCAAGTGCTTCCTATGTTCCATGTGTAGTATTAAGCGCTGTATCAGCATCATCCTGTCCCAAGAAGTTTCAGTTAAGTAAGGTAAAGCAGAAATATGTAAACAAATACAAGCTGAGTTTCCTTTGAAACTCAGAAGAGTTTCAGCATATGTAGGTTTTAGAATTTGAAATATTTGCATAGACTTTACTAGTTGAACATCTGTAATCTGTTTCTGATTTTAAATTTTCAGATTAGGGTTGCTCAGTCTTGTAGACGCAACAAGGGATTGGAGATGCTTTGTCAAGTGTGTAAAGGTATACAGAAAGAAGAGAACAATACTGCATTTTAGAGGTGACATATAACCTATGGTCTCCAGTCCTTTAAGTTAGTTTCATCACATATAAACAATGTTTGGGCTGGAGGTGTGGCTAAAGGAGTAGAGCTCTGGCTTTGCAAGCATGAAGCCCTGAGCTCAAATCCCAGTTCCACCAAAAATGAGTAAGTAAGTAAGTAAATAAATAAATAAATAAAATGGTATTGTAAATCAAGATCCTGCTGTTTCTACCTCGAAAGCATTGGGATTACAGGCCTGAACCACCACACCCAGCTTTTTCAACCATGTTCTTGAAGGAGTACATTTTCTTGTGAATTGAAGATTTTGCCTTATTGAACATCCTTATTGTAAAAAGATTTTGGCCTGGGTATGGTCAGGGTGGAGGCAGTGGAAGTATGTGAAATGTCATAAAGAGAAAGAATAAAATCTGACAGAAACACTGAAGCACAGTCTTTCCTGGGTGAGCAGTGTGATCAGATGATCTGGCAGAGCTGGATAGAGCCTTGGCAAGATGAAGAAATAACATCATTAGTTAAGTGAAAACAAAGATTAAAATATTACTTTGGGGATTTGTATATATAGAAAAAACAGAGTATGTGGCATAGTAAACAGACATCTTGCAGAATGACAGTGTTTATTGGAGGACATGGTGCTTTTGGAAACTTCTGGGTTTTTAGCAAGGGAACTCATTAAGACCCCTCTTTTAGATAGAAGTAACAAGTTAGTCTGGAAAGGCAATTTCCTGCTGGAGCTAAAGAGAGAGGAGTGTTACCTGGCAGCCCCCATCCCATAGGTTAGGGTAAGGGGAAAGAAAAGATACATGTTTCTGGGGTTTAAAACTTCTTAAGAGCTTCAATTTTTTATTAAAGTCTGAACTCTAATGCTTGTTTTATAGATCACTCCTTTTCTATGAATACACCTCCCCTTCCTAGATTCCTCATTTCTTAATGTCTAGAATTAATTTCTTTCTCTTCGTGCTTCTTCCTGGTGATTTTTAAGAGTATCAGACCACCCCCATTCTCAGGAAATCTTTTTCAGGGTTATATAGCACACTGTTACCTCTACCTTAGCTTGTTCACATGTAAAGGTCACAGGTAAGCAGTTGACTTCTGTTACTCCAGTTTTCTTGTCATCTCCGCTTCTTGCTTCCCTTTAAAATTTGTTTCATTTCTCTGTCATTGTGTTGGACTTGCCTGGCTTATGCCTGATACCATCTTTCTTTGGTCTTGGCCTTGGTGGTATCATTCTTGTTTGTTCCAGTCCTCTTCAAGGATTCTTTGCCAGCTTCCCTTCTTTCCACTCTACTTGATTAGAATTACTCACTGTCAGTCCCTGATCCTCGTTTCTCCCCCCATCCCTTCCTTACTTTATTCTTCATTTCTTTTCTACTTAGTTCACTTTGTAAGCTCTCTGGCATAGCTGAAACAGCTTGCTTTTC